CTTATCCCATTACCTCATTTTAACGAAGCATAAAATTGACACATTTTGGCCTAAGTTTTGTCTGGAAGCTGCAAAATCTTGAAATTCTCCAAGCAGGGATGCTAAACAAACCCTGCTTCCAGTGGCTGGTTCACACTGATCACACTGGCTTATGTGTGAAGTATCATCAGATCACAGGAGAAAGAAATTACGTGATGGGGTTGACTGCAACAGCAGAAGCATGGCTTGTGTTTAAGCTTTCCAGCCCACTTTTATTCTTCTAGGAGACAATGCATTTATTCTGCAAAAAGGATTGGATAACATTCCCAAAATTTGATAGGAGATCCCTTTTTATTCAAGCTTTTGAGTCATATGGGACAACTTGAATGTTGATAAGTATAAAATTAATACCAAACATTACAAAATTGAAATACACATTTTGCATAGGAAAGTAGCTTTCAGTGCTAAGAACAATATGCTTGTAGCTGAAATGGAGCAATTTGGTAAAATGAGGTAATGGGATAAGCTCATTTTCAATGCCTTGTTCCCCACTTTGGAATATGTCCACAGAACAGTCAAAGCCTTAAAGGTTTTACTTTGCCTCAGAATAAAAGCAGATTAAAAGAAATATCAGCGGCCCACATGCAACTTACCTTTCAGGACTCATTGGGCCAGGCAGGTCTACTCCAGAACACTATAAGGGATAGTACAGGAGTACATTTCTACAATCTATGTCGTAAGTAAGTTCCCAATCCTTATTTTCTCCAATGACACATAGGGCTACAGAAAAATGTCTTGTGCATAAAGTTGTATTAAGGTTGCACTTAAAATGCTGAAAATGTAAGTACTCTGCCATTCCTGTCAGCTGAATTTATAGAGGAGTTAGACCAGACAAAGAAAGCTGAAGTAATGTTCTAAATATACTCCTGTCCCTGTTCTTTTTTGTCCCATTATTACTTCATATAATGGAGAAGATGACTGAGAGAGTATTCAGGGAGGTGCACGGCTCCAGGTTTCCTCCTCTAGGCAGGGACTGTGAGCCTGGGTGGCTTTGCCATGCAGCCTTTTCCCCTTATTAATTTTGTAAGATTCCCAAGTGTCTGAGGCTCCCACGGTTTAGGCAAGTTTCTCTCATATACCAAGATTACCAAACTTCTCAAGCTACTTGTGCTTGGATTTTTTTGGATTCCTTTTTAACAACTTTCTCTCATAGCCAGAAAACCTTGTTAAGAGTAGAGATATTAAGGGAAGTGGAAGCTGTTCCTGTGATGCTTAAAGGTCCAGTCAAAGAGCCTGAGCCTGGAATGTTTTGATATTGGTCTGTGTGTGTTGTACATTTATTTTTCTTAGGACTTTAATCCTGTCTTTGAGCTGAAGGAAGGTAACAGGTGGTAGATCTGACTGCAAAAAGCCATGGATGCCAATTCAGGAACTCTGAAACACCATCAGGTAGTTTCAAGAGTGCTTCCTGAAAACAGAATCTTAAATACCTTAACCAGTTTGTTGAATTAAACTACATGTACATGATCTAGCATGCATTAATCCATATTAAGTATTACATAATTTGTATTAACATCTGTGATGTAAAGTCAAGACCTGCCTAACATATATCTAGAATGAGGTAAGAAGCTGGTGTTAGAAATATTGCAGAGCCATAACACACTATTTTTCATGATGCAAATAATATGCAGATAATAGCTATGCTGAACAAGTTGGTTTGTTTTAGCAGGCTATTTAAAAAAACATTGTAAGAGGACAAGAACGAAAAAAAATCAAGATGCTTTGGCCCGTGTACATAATTAACAATTTTATAACAAAATCATTGCTATTTACCAAGTGACTGGTGCAGATTCACTTCCCAGCCACGGCAAGGGTGTATTCTGAAAATACAACCTGTGGTATCACAGGCAAGGTCAGACAAAAACATTGCTGCAATATTTCATGCATGTAAACTTCAAATGAGCTACATGTTAGCTGGTGTGCCATCAGCAGCAAATTCCCTACCAGAGCACCCTAAGCAATCCCATAAAACTCAAATGAGCTGGACTTGTTCATAAAGCTTGACTGACACCAGCCAGTGCTGGCTATGTGCAGCCCAGACAAGGGAGCTCTCATCTCATTTTCCAGTTTTTGGAAATTTAGTGTTGCATCTTAAAAATTGCTTCTTTCTGAAGCCACCTCCAAATTGACCTTTCAGCCATTCTCTTTCCAATCCAAACACATCCAACCACAAACCTAAGTTTTGGCAGTGTAAACCCAGAGCCTTTGAAGATGATAATACTGTGCTTGACTACTGTGTCAAATACTTTTTACACTCCTCAAGTTGTGCAAATAACAAACATTTCTGCCACTGAGTGCTACTTATCAGTGTGGTATTAATTTTTTTTCTCTCTCCAGAAGGAAAATAACTACATTACTGACTCCAGAATAAAAGGTTGTCACTGTCCAGCTGCAGCAGAAAGTTCAATTATCTTCTTTCCAGGCTCAACATCCTTAGAACAAGTGCATGTGCACACACATACACAGAGATACATCACATTATGCCAACACACAGAAATGGACCCAAACTGGACCTGTCTTTTTCTCTTTTGAAAACAGTCAAAGCTCAAATAGAAGTTAAATTTCAAAACTGACTAGAAATGTACCTAACTCATGTTAACCTTCTTCATTCAAACCAAAAGAGAGGCTCCTTCTGGGCCATGGGTGTGTCCAGTGGATCCATGACAATGTCAAGTCAAAGCCCCCCTCTCCTTACATACTCCAAATAACTTTGAAAGAAAACCTCAATAAATTTTTTAAAAAACCTGATGTTTTCAGAAGGTGTAAAAAGGATGTTTCAGCAGAACTTGGCTCACTGAGTATGATCACGTGACTGAAAAGTGCTCTGGAAACAATAAAGCCAGAACTTAACTGGAGTAAGCATCTCCTAATAAAGAGAAGACCAACACAAAGAAAGAAACAACAATACTGTCTGCACCAGATAAACACTATGGGGCTTTTGGCCTTGTTAGATGCAGCTGAACCTGGGAGCCTTTTTGGGGCTTTGTGATGTATCTGCATGGATTTAACCTCTGCTCTCGAGAGAGTAAAGCCAGAGTCCCCTGTGGAAAACAGGTCAGACAGGTACCACCCTGTCCTGTTGTTTATCAACTGTCCTTTGCCAGACTTTTAGGATACAAGCTACTTTTTTCTTTGACATATAGTGACACATGCACATAAAACTTGGCTGAGGTAAAAGCTGCCTGCTCACTACAAGCTCTGCACTTTACCATTAAAGGTCAAGCTAAGGGGAAAATCAACCAAACACAAAAGCAAACTGTAATGGGAGCTCCACGACACAGAGAACTACAAAGCAACAGGTGCCATTGGAAACAGGTTTTCACATGGAAAAGCACAAGAAAATAAATTAAAAAGCACAAAGACTAGAAAAACAAACATTGTTCTTCAAAAAAACAAAAGAAAACAAATTTAATTTTAAAGAGCACCCAAAACCAGAAGACTTAATATGTTACAGTTCCAGGTATATGAACAAAACCAAGAGACTGGATATGACCCTTTGTTGTACGTCACTTCATTTAAAAATGCAAAATAAGCATAATTAAATTGATTCACCTTCAAAAAACTCATCTTGGATAATATTTTTTGACATTTTATTGGTCAAGAAAATTTAGAAAGGGAAACAATGGAGTAGGAGAAGTTATATGCAACGTTTTTCTGAAATGTACTGGGCAGTGTACTAGAAAGTTACTTTGTCTCCACATTATTACCTGAAAGTACACCTCTGTTATTTATTACTTGCAAAAATAGACAACAAATCACTCGTCAAAGTGAAAAATAATTAACTCTCATGTAAACTGATATAAAGTATTTCCAAGGAGATTATAATCTCTTCAGTGCCACACAACGTGCATTTATTTCCTTTTGAAGGAACCACTTTGCACTCTGTACAGGGCTTCCTTTTGTATTATTTTATTTGTAGTTGAGTCAAAAGTAGAGAAACACAAATGCTTTGGCTCTAAGCAGGGCCAGTATTATTCCAGAGCCTAAAGAATCACGTCCCCTGCTGGAGCAGCAGATGTGTTAGAAGAGCAGAGACTGGACAATGTGGTTTTATCCTGCCAAGGAGAGCATCGCTGTTGTTAGCACACAGCTGCAGTGCCCGTGGCACGGACTGACTGACTACAGGCAAAGGGTCATCTCACATGGCAAGAGCAGCCTCCAGCATGGATTGAAAAGAGAAGAAAAACATTTGACGTACTTGGATCTGACAAGATTGAGTCGGTTTTCGGCAAAAATTGGTCACAGCGGACTCCTTGGTAGCCCTCTTTGCACCTGAGAAAAAGGGGATAAATGACAAACATACGCATGCGGTAGTAAAAGGTTAATTTTAAGGTACCAAATCCACCCTGCCAACACTGCAAGGGACTCACATGCCTACAATATTCAAGTTATTTCGGCTATAATGGGGCTATGGTTATTACAGGAACACGACAGAAGCAGGTAAAATACTTTGTATTCCGGAAAAAAAGTTCCCTTCAATCCTTTTGATTATTTTAGAAACTATGAAAGTAAACATCATTTTAGCATAACCATTATTTTAAATATCAATTCAGTGAAACAACCAAAGGAAAAAAACCTGTATAAAATACACATATTTGCAAATAAAATTATCTCTTTAGGTAACACAGCACTTTATAAAGCTTCCATACCACACAAACCATAAGACAGACAACTTATCTTTGGCTGTCTGAAAAAGCAGGGAACAGTTAGGTAGCCATTAATTTTAATACCAGTCTATACTGTGCTTAAAAGACAAAATGATAAACATCATCAGGCATTGTTTGCAAGCAGGAAGTTTCAGATGCCTTTGAGATTAGATTTTAAAGCACATAAACCAGAATAGCCTCCTGCCTCAACAAATGAGAACTGGCTTTGACTGAGATGGTAATACTATTATTTATCTTGAAGCCTTACTTTGAAGAAATTCCATTTACTGCTTTTGAACTGTTCTCAGAAGTCTCATTTCAACTAAGTGTATCAGAATCAGATCTTTAATTATTTATTCGTCAAGCAGTTTTTCAGAGGAAAGTGATGGACACTTTAATTATAAATGATAGCAACAGGGATTCCTTATCTCCCAAAGCTCTTGCACATCACATAAGCAATATGCTCAAATCAGCATCACCACCTTTCATTAGGGTTGACAACTGCAGCTTGAGTGATGTGATAATGTCAGGAGAAGAAGTTATCTGCTCCTTCACAATGTTTTTACTCAGGCTTCCTCTAAATGTTGCCTTTTAATATGCTTTTGGTTTAATAAATTAATGGTTCAATGAGAAGTGCATCTCACCAGCATTGACTAAGGGATCAGTAAGAACATTTGTGAGAAAATATGTAAATTATGTTTCCATCAGACCTAAAAATGTAGTAAAATTCTACAGTAAGAAAAAGATTCAAAATCCCCATACATAATAATGTTTCAAAACCTCCCTTTTGGCTTTTATCCCTGATGGATATGATGGATATGAGGTACTACTTCAGCTTCCTCCCAGTACTCGCCTATCTAGAAAATAACTGACTTGAAAAAACTGCTCAGGTGTTATTTCATTCAGATCCCATGACAGTGGTCATAAGTTATTGGTCAAGGAAAAAATGTTCTATTAACTAAAACTGTCCACTAGTCAGAAAAACTGAAGTAGTCTACATAGACACTCCTACATGCATCTTTTGCCTCTGATTATGAAACATCAGAAGCTGCCTCACATCAAAAAGAAACTCTTCTTCACGGTCTTGAGAGGAGTTGGCAGACCTCATACCAAAGCTTAAGTGTAACTTACGCTGGTGGAGATTCTTGCCTTTCTATGAGTGTTTTCTAATATCTTTTTGACAAACATTTGCACCTGTCTTGGCTACAAATACCATATTACAGACTTAAAACCCTCTATCCTAAACTGTTTGTCATGAAAACATGTGAGGAGAGTCACAGATTGGTATCTCCTGGAAGAGCTGTGCCCAGTGCTCATCAGTGTGCAGACATTTTCACTGACCTGTACCTCTAACAAACATTCCACAAGGGGAATGTGTTTCTTTCAAAGTTTAGTACAGAGGTGGATGATACATCAAAGAATAATCTTGTAACACCATAACCTTATGCTCAGGTAATACCTACTATGGTGAGGCTGCACCTTGAATCCTGGGTCCAGTTCTGTGGCCCTCAATACAAGTGGGACGTTGAGGTGCTGGAGCAAGTCCAGACAAGGGCAATGGAGCTGGAGAAGGGAGTGGAGCACAAATGAGGGGTGGCTGAGGGAACTGGGGTGGTTCACCCAGAGAAAAGGAGGCTCAGGAAAGACCTTACTGCTCTCTGCAAGTCCCTGAAAGGAACATGTAGTGAGGTGGGGGTTGGTCTCTTCTCCCAGGTAAGCAGTGGCAGGATGAGAGGGAATAGCCTCAAACTGCAGCAGGGAAGGGTTAGATCAGGTATTAGGAAAAAATTCTTCACTGAAATGGTGGTCAGGCATTGGAACAGGCTGTGTGGGAAGTGGGGGAATCAGCATCCCTGGAGGTATCTAGAAGCTGTGTAGATGTGGTGCTGAGGGACGTGGTTTAGACATGGGTTTATGTTAACAGCTGGACTTACTGATCCAAGAGGGCTTTTACACATCAGTTATTCGATGACTTGATGGCCAAACATAGCTTGGTTTTTCAAACTGCATTGTTTCTCAGCAGAGATAAAATTAAAGTCTCCTGGTTCCCTTAACAAATTCCTTTTAAAAATCTAATAATAGCAATAACTGCTCTGCCATTATGACACCCAAGTTCAAACTTTTGAATGTTAAGTCATTAAGCTTTGCAGAATACACATTTGACAGTTATAATGCTACAATAGGATGAAAGTTGATCATGTTGTGGCATCCCATAATCTTACCTAAAGCATCTGCCATGTGTCCTAAATAGGCAGATGTGATATGCACACATGCTGCTCATTGGTATCACACCTCTACGGAAGAAAGCACAATAACCCACTGCAGAAAACCCTATTAAAGCAGCACTGTTGTGACACATACAGAAGTTCTGGAAAGTCCAAATGAGGTCACTCAATATCACCATATGCAGTGTGAATGATCAAATACATATTTATGGATGCATTAAAAAAGCCATGAGTTATCAGAGAAACCTTGAGAAATGCTTAGGTGCAGCTCACAGTTTCAGAAATGATCACTTGATTCTGAAACAAACAAATGCTTATTAGAGATACCATTAAAAAAAAATATAGAAAAAGAAAAAAACACCTAGATAAGATATTGCTTATAGTGAAGCAAAAGCTCTGATCTGTGTGTGGGACCCCTGCAGCAAAGGCTGGAAAGGACAGCCTAATATCCCATGTGCACACCATGGCAAAGGGGTCTAAAAATGGTGTTAATTGCGGCCTCTTTATAAATAAACATGAAAAGGGAATTCTCTATTTTGCATTCAGATTTTCACCCAAATGAGTGTGTCTATCTAGGCTCTAGACCAAAAATTTCAACAGGATTGTATCATATAAGTTGAATTATTTAAATCCTTCTGATTAAACGGTATGAAAAGAGAAGCACAGGTAAAGCTAATCTGCAGCTGCTAAAATGCTTGCAAACATATCCCTAACTGAAAAGTGTTAAATCCAACTAAGATTACTTCATCATGTCTTCTTCACATCTTTTTTTGGCAATGTACTTTCCCAGATGATTTTTTAAGGTCACCAGTAACAAACTGCATTGTGCACTGCACTTCATGAAGTCAGCCACAATGACCTCTGTGTGAAACCACTCACACAGAAACACATCTCTCATTCCTCCTGAGAAGGCTTATCTTTTCCTTTCTACTTAAGCACATTTGCAACTAAGTATTAAAAAGTAATTAAGGCACGAGACTTCATTCATTCTTTTTTTCTTTATGCTAATGTTTAATAGTACTAATACATGTATGTTCTAGCCCAAGAGATCACAGACACTTTCTGTGGACATTTCCCAGAGCTGTTTCTTGTACTACCTTATGGAGCCAAGGGAAATTTCAAATAGATGGCTGTGTCACTCCTGAGACTAACACAGCACTCCAATTTCCTAGGTTTCAAGTTGGAAACATTTTAAAAAGTAAAGTGAATGGGGGCAAGGATGGGGCAAATAGCACAATAAACAAAGATAAAGAATAAAATAATAATAAAATAATAGATTTAAGACAGCAGAAAGGGAAGAAAGAGAGCCTGCTTAGGAGACTTAGGGTAGGACATAAAACTTATGGCCAAGAAGCTGATACTATCACGATTTACATTTTCCCCAAACACCTCCATATGGAGCTCCATGTCCCCATTAAGCCTAAATATTTACTTGTCAAGGGACAACAAGGTAGAAAATGCAGGAGGGTGGCACCAGCAAACTGCAGAGGCTACAAAATATGGCAACACTATGGATCCACATCTCTTTCCTCCTTCTCTGTGATATCCATCCATCTGAAATGAAAGCAATTCCCCTTCTTTCCCAAGTGAGGTGATCACATCGCCTCTGACCCTGTGAAGAAGTCTGCATTAAGAAATTTCTCTGCACAAAGTCCAGAATCTGGCAAACATATAATATATGAGTTCATCTCCAATGAAAATTTTGAAAATGACAGTTGGCATCTCAAGGACAGACTACAGCAGAAGAGGAAGCTATATATTCCTACACACCAGGGAAACAAGCATGTCCTAGGCCAAAGGTCATTTGTGACATTAAAAAAAAAGAAGTCCTAATAGCGCAGTGCCCAAAAGATTAACTTATATGAACCTATAATCTGATTCTAGTCTCATCAACAGGAGTAATCCAATTTGAAAGATGGAATTAATAGTACCTATGAAAAATGAAATTTAATTTTTGCAGTGAATCCAAATCAACACACGTTTCCTTCCCCTTGTAAAACTGCAAATTGGCAGTCTCAAAGATGATATTAATTAGAATGATCCATCTCAGTGGATCAGTTGCAAATTATTTTCTCTTGACACCATTATATCCACTGTACTAACATTCAGATGCCAATATGAGAACATACTGCAGCTCTTATTTATTCTTTATGAGAGAACTCCAGGATCATAATAAAAAAAAAATATTGTAATGGTCTATAAATTTCTATCAAGTATTTATTTTCACACAGAGAATGCAATACTCTTCATCCTGGGTCAGAGAGTCAGTTATACAATAAATCTATGATAGCAAACCATGACATTATAAAGGCCACTGGGCTGTCCCACAGTCCAGCCTGAAATATGCTGTAGACAATGGAAAAGAATTCCTTTGCTCTGCAGGTAAGCTAAATATAGATTT